CCACTTTATTAAGGAGAGAGTTATGGCCAACTAACTGAGCATCAAACGTGTGTTTACCTCTGCACAGCTTATAACAACTCTTACAAAGCCTTTAGGCACACTTGCTTTCACTAAACTGAGGAACAAGCTTATGGTTACATCTTTGTTGTCTGGTCTTGTGGCCATATTAGATTTTTTTTGTCGGTTGAAAGGCTACATACTATGACGGGGTTGGATACTCTCACCGTTACGAAATTGGGGATCCTTATGTCAACTTCTATTTCTCGTGTGGTTGTTTTTGTGTGTACTAACATAGTCATCACCCTCATATTTTTAGATGTTTACCAATTGAATGTTATATTGATTTTTCAGTTGGCCAGTATAGATTATGTATTCAATATTTCTCTATGTTGCGTTCTACCATATATTTCAACAATTCGGCCTCACAATTTATATGAAATAAATATTAGTGCCTAAAGTTAACTTATACATGTTTAATTAATCTACACTTATTGTCTTAACCATACCAAACTTAAACTACACATGAGATTTGTAGTAAAATAGAGGACTAGAATCTTATATCCAAAACATCCTTTGATATTATTATGATCATAATTGAGCAATCTTTGAAGGCCATGTGCAAGTAAGCATGGGCAAGGGCTACAAGATCTGTCGCACACATCAGGAACCCGTGAGATGTTTGCTGATTTCATTCTTGTCAAAAGAGGTAAAGGGGGCAAAACAGAACCAAAAAGTTCCATGAAGCTAATCCCTAAAATCGGGAAGAATTAATATTCAGCGATATGGGGCTTGATTGTCCCTTGATTTTGGTGCCATATGTAGGTGTCAAAATTATTTATATCACATTATTTTAATCTGTGGAATTCGGATATAATTCATCACTCACTACCATGTTGGATATGGGTCAAATTCTCATGTTACTATTTTTAGTTTGCCTCTGATATTATGTTGGCCTTGAATTTTACTCTTAAGAAAGTTAGTTTATAAGACGGAGTGCTTAAAATTTAATAAATTTTCAACAGCAATTTTATCATATTATATAGCTAAAATTTTAAAAAATATTAAATATATTTTTGGTTCCAATAAATATTTAAATTTTGTCTTTTAATTCTTATAAAAAAAATTTAATTTTAGTCACTATAAAATTATTTTTATACGTAGTTTTATTCTCTGTAAAAGAACTAAAACCGTGTGTAAAAGTAATTTTATAAAGATTAAAATTTGAATATTTTTTTATAGAGAATAAAAATTACTTTTGATCATTATATAAGACTAAAAATATATTTAACTATTTAAAAAATAGAATAAAATAAAAGTTTAATTATTACCTGTAAAATGTTTTATTTGAAATTTGACTTGACATTTTTAAAATTGTTATCTAACTTATTATATTTAATTAACCTATTATGTCTATTTTTTATTAAAGAAATTTTAAAATTATTCGGCCTACTTGTACGAAGACTAACAAATTGTCAATCTGAATGATTCTAATGCTAATGTCAGCGCAATTTCTTTGAGATCTGGAAAGATAACAGAAACAACCCCTGAAAAAATGCAGTATAGCGATAATGGCTCGAGTCGTATCGCAAGGATTCTGGATTTTATTATTAATTAATAGAAATCGAATGGGGGAATGGTTTTAGGATCGATTCATAACGCGAAGTAAGTGATTAAAATAAGTGATTATAAAAATAAGTCGATCTACTGTTTTCAAGTTCCTGTTAATCATTGGTTTTTACCTTATCAATTCCCTAAGCGGCTTCGACCTCTATTCGATTTCAATACCAATTGACAAGTGCAATAGATATAAAATAGATTGAATTCCCATTCCGAATTAAGCAAACGGATTAATATAATCGTGAATTAAGCAAACACGATATAGAACGTGATTTAACGACTAAGCGACGTAAACAACGATTAAAGATTAGGAATACAATCATACGAATTTAATCAAGACATTTCATGAAATAATAGATTAAGCAAATACAATTTCATAAAATAGAATTGAAAGAGAAACAAAATTGAATTGATAAATTAAAAACCTCAAAGTATCGGAACGCGATTACAGTAGATCAACCCTGGATGATTAGTTCTTCATTCAAGCGTACAAGTTAAAAAAAATTTCTTCTGAATATATATATATATATATATATATATATATATATATATATATATATATATATATATATATATATATATATATATATATATGAAAATGAGTAAGTTATATGAAAATGTGGGAATAAATAAAAATCATTAGATTTTAAAATGAAAGATTGAGTTGAATTTTTACTAAATCAATTGTCATTAAGAGAAAAGAGAAATTATTAATTAAATTTTAAAAATATTTTTTAATCTTAATTATTAAATATAAATCTAATAGTTATTATTAAATTCTCATATTTTCATATAAGTTACTCTCATATATATATATATATATATATATATATATATATATATATATATATATATATATATATATATATATATATATATATATATATATATATATATATATATATATATATATATATATATATATATATATATATATATATATATATATATATATATATATACGAATATGAAAACAAATAGAAATTTTCATTTATTTTATAAAAGTTATCCTAATTTTTTTTAGAGAGGAGAATTTATATCCTAATCATGGATATAAATTTGTTCTTTTATAGGATAGAGTGTTCAATAAACAATAAAATAAGATTTTGATATTGTTGAGTAAGTCTATGATACGACGAATAAGTGGTTGAGTTGCAAGATTAATATTTCTAACATCTAAATTATAGAGAAAATGATAAGTAATGTGAGCGGAAATGAATTTAAAATTTTAAAATGAAGCGTTTTTTTATTTTTATATATAATAAGAATAGTTGAAATCGTTCGTGTGAGGTAAGATGCGGTGTATGAATAGTTGGTTAATCTAATCAGATTATAGTAGACATGCATGAAAGGCAAAATTTTCTATTTTTAAATGAGTGGGAACTTATCTGATCTATGTGCATTTGGTGGTATTCTTCAATCTTTTGCTTTGGACTTTGCAAACAGATCAAAACACAAATCAGTTGTCTTGGCAACATAACCACAAAGTCCTTGATGATTTAATCATTAATATATTTATCTACTCATTATTAACACTACGTTGACTAATTTTCAAGAGAATTCAATAATAGGAGAATTTTCCTAAGACATAAGGGCATGTTTTAAAACCCAGCCCGATCCGGCCGGTCAGACCGGTCTGATCGAGAATCGATGGATCAGACGGTCCGATTAAGGGATAATACCGGAATTACATTTAGATCGGATGAAATCGATGTGAACCGGTCGGATCACCGGTTAAACCAGTGAACCGGCGATTTTTACGGAACCGGCGGGTTTGACTATTTATTTAATTTTTTAGAGCTTTTGAAAAAAAAATTAACATAAACGCTTTGCCTTCTCGTTTCCCAAACCTAGGCATTTGAAAGATTCTTTTTTTTATTCTGTCTTTTTTTTTCCTAATTGAAGTCATATTCTCAATTTTCTCTACCAACAAAAACTCCCACTTGCTACTGTTATTTGATATTTCTTGTTTGCCGTCAAAAATTTCATAAAAACATCAAAAACAAGTTATTTCTTTTTTACTTGGTTTAATTTGCATTGATGTTTTTCAATATGAATATTATTGTTTCATTTTGTTGATTAATTGATATAGAAAATAAATGATTAAATTTGATCATTTTCTATAAAATTGGATCTTTTAGTTTAACAAATTGAGATAGAATTTGTATGAATAAAGCAGTTTTATACTTTTATGAATTAATTTATTATAGACTGTTAATGAAGTTGTTGTATATTAGAGATAAAAATTGGGATAGATATATATTACTGTAATAGTCGTTGTATATATTATGGAGATAGAAATTGAGTTTAAAACTATGTAATCTAAATTATATAGTAAGATAAAGTTTTCTGTTTTTTATTAATTTAAATTATATAACAAAGAAAAGTTTCAGGATTTTATTAATCTAAAATATATAGCAAATGCTGGAAAACAAAGTTTCTATTTTTTTATTATATATGGTGATGCACAGTAACGATGTTTGGTAGCCTATATGTAATATACAACAACATATTCATATATTTTGGATTTAGATATGCTACATATTTAATGTTTCTTATAATTTGCTACATTAAATTTCTATCACTTATTTTGATTGTTACTAATACTTTTGTTTATTCTAAATTATTTGAATTTATAATTTTCTATATTATTATAGTTATAAATTTCAGGTAATGAATATATTTTTTATAGAAATCGGGCAAAAAACCATGTGATCTGACCAGTGACCCACTGATCTGATCAGTAATTAAGTGACTCAATAACTTTACCGAATCGATCATCGGTTCTGATTTTAAAACATTGCATAAGAGAATATGTATTTTTTCTTATGGTTGTTTTTTTAGATTTGTCTCTATGACAATTAGCGAATTGAATATTAACCTTTTTTTTTTTTAATGAATTAACTTAAACAAACTTTCAATAAACTCGATTATGAGCTTTTAACGGACTATGTATCCTATTATTAACACTTATTTCTAAATCATCTCTTTAAAGGAAGGGCTTTTAAAAAAATAAGTAAAAATAAAAGCAATTCTTTAAAATTATTTTAAAACGTGCACTTGTATAATACAGTGGGGCTAACTTAGTATTTTTACAATTTCTTGTTTGTCACCGTTCTAATTTCTCATAAGCTATTTTAATTTAATCAAATCATCTTACAACATCATTATCAGTAGAATAGCAGAAAGTGGAATTGGAAAATATCTCATATTTCATGTACTTACAAGGATATAATTATTGGGATATATACAATTCAGCATTAGCTTATTTAGGTATGTAAATCTCCTATAATAACACTGTAATAATTCTATAATAAAACTGAAATCTCCTATAATTAATCTATATAAAAAAATATCCCTATAATTTCTCTTAACACCCTCACTCAAACTCTAGTTGGTATGGTGGATGCCAACTGCAGTTTGCTTAATAAATATTTGAAGCGCATCGGATTATGTGGTTTGATGAAGGTATCATCCGGTTGGTCCTCAGAAGGAATAGAAATCAACCGTATGGTGCCATTAGTAACATGATGGCGTACAAGGTGACAATCAATTTCAATGTGTTTCGTGCGCTCATGAAAAACATCATTATGGGAAATCTGGATAGCACTTCTATTATCACAATGAAGCATAGTAGCAGAAGATTGTGTAATGCCCATATCATTTAATAACCATCGTAACCAAAGTAACTCAGCCGTAGCATCAGCAAGAGCGCGATATTCAGATTCTGTGCTTGATCGGGCAACAACTGTTTGCTTTTTGCTACGCCAGGAAAGAAGAGAATTTCCTAAGAAGAAACAATACCCTGTTGTTGAGCGACGATCAGTAGGGTCACCTGCCCAATCTGCATCAGAGTATCCAGATAGGACCAAGGATGAATTAGCAGAGAAGCGTAAACCATGAAAAATTGTACCTTTAACATAGCGAATGATACGTAAAACTGCAGAGAAATGAGATGATCGAGGGGCAGCCATAAATTGACTGACTTTATGAACAACATATGCAATATCAGGGCGAGTGACAGTTAGGTAAACAAGACTACCAACAAGTTGTCGATACAAGGTGGCATCTTCAAGAGGTGTGTCGTCAAGTGGTATGAGTTTGGAGTTGACTTCCAATGGTGTCAATTCAATCTTGCAGTCTGTGATGCCTGCTCGAGAAAGCAGGTCAGAAGCATACTTGGCCTGGGAAAGATAATAGCCTTCTGAGTCTTGGGAAACTTCAAGCCCCAAAAAATAACTAAGGGAACCAAGGTCTTTCATTTTGAAATGTTGACTGAGATATTGTTGTAAAGCTGAGATGCCAGTCTTGTCATCTCCGATTATGATCATATCATCTACATAAAGAAGAAGAATTACAATACCACTATCACTTCGTCGAGTGAATAGAGCAGAATCATGTGGACTAGAGAGAAAACCAAATTGTGTTAGAGTAGAATTGAACTTGGCAAACCAGACTCTAGGAGTTTGTTTCAACCCATATAAGGCTTTCTGAAGTTTACAGACCTTATGGGGAGAATGATATCCTAGATGAGGGTGCATATATACTTCCTCTGTCAATTCACCGTGAAGGAAGGCATTTTTGACATCCATCTGAAAAAGCTTCCATTTACGAACTGCAGCAATGGCCAAGAGGCTACGAACAGATGTTATTTGAGCTACCGGAGAAAATGTTTCTTCATAGTCTATACCATACTCTTGAGTGTACCCTTTGGCTACTAGGCGAGCTTTATAACGTTCTACAATTCCATCAGAGCGAGTTTTAATTTTGTAGATCCATTTGCATCCAATAGGAATCTTTTCTACATGAAGATCAACTAATTCCCAAGTATTTGTCTTTTCTAAAGCTTGAATTTCTTCAGCCATAGCTTGCTGCCAAATGGGGTTAGTACTTTCCTCTCGATAAGAACAAGGCTCATGAAGAGTTTTAATAGCAGAGTAGCAATGGTAATCATTAAGATGAGTAGGTGGATTACTTGCTCGGGTGGAATGGCGAGATGCAGGTACAATATCAACATCTGGAACAGGTTCAGTAGGAGCAGGTGAGGGCGGACGAGTATTGAGCTCAACATCTGGAACAAGTTCATTAGGAGCGGGTGAGGGAAGAGGAGTATTGAGGTTATTAGAGTTATCTGCATTAGAACTTGGAAACAACTCAACTGAGGGATCAGTGAAATAAAATGAGTCGGTGTCAAGAGAATGATGAAATGTAGAAAGAGAGGAGAACATGGTGTTTTCCCAAAAGGTAACATGACGTGAGATGCGTAATCTGTTAGAGATTGGATCCCAACAACGATATCCTTTGTGTTTTGTGCCATAGCCAAGAAAGCAACACAAGCGAGCACGTGGTTGTAATTTTGTGTGCTCATGAGGCTGCAAGAGAACAAAACAAGCACATCCAAAAGGTTTAAGAATGGAATATTCAGGAGACTTACCAAATAGTTTTTCAAAAGGAGATAAGTTTTGAAGATTTATGGTGGGAAGTCGATTAATTGTATAAATAACATTAAGAGTTGCTTCCCCCCAAAACTTCTCTGAACACAAGGCTGAGAGGAGAAGAGCACGAACTGAGTCAAGGATGTGACAGTGTTTTCGTTCAGCCCGACCATTTTGTTGGGAGGTGTGAGGGCATGAATGTTGAACCACGGTGCCTTGCTGACTGAGAAACTGAAGCAAGGAAGATTCACGGTATTCCATCACATTGTCTGTGCGAAGAATCTTAATAGCACAAGAAAATTGTGTTTTAACCATACGAGAAAAGGAAATATAAATTTGAGGTAATTTAGAGCGATTTTTCAAAAAATATATCCATGTAAAACGAGAAAAATCGTCAATAAACAATACAAAATAACGATGACCATTTATTGAAGAAACAAGAGAAGGCCCCCAAATATCCGAATGAATCAAATCAAAAGGACTATCTGAACTAGAAAAACTACGATTGAATGATAATGCAGGCTGTTTGGCAAGTTTACAATGTAAACAATCAAAAGGCTCAACCTTTGTGGATCCTAATAACCCACGAGATATTAGAAGTTGAATTTTACTTGCTGAGGCGTGACCAAGACGAATATGCCATTGATGAATTGGAGAATTTATAGTAGCAGCAGAAATATGATCTTTAGGAAGGTGAAGAGATTGTAGCTCAAATAGCCGACCCACCCTGTGACCCGTCCCAATGATCTGCTTCGTCTATGGATCCTGTACCTGAACACCAGAGGGAGAAAAATAAACATTCAGTCCTTGTTCACACAATTGACCAATGGAAATAAGATTAAGTTTTAACTTAGGAATGTAATATGTGTCAGGAAGGGTGAGATTTAAGGTGGATACATGACCGGTATGAGTGATGTTCATTGTATTGCCACTGGCTGTATGGATTGGTGGCAGAGATGAAACAAGTGTCGCAGCAGGTAATGATTTAATATCAGTGGTCATATGATTACTACATGCAGAATAAAAAAACCAACGAGAATTACCGTGAGTAGCAGACATGGCAGTAGAGTTGTTGGAAGACATAACATGTTTGATTAAAGCTTCAATATCACTCATAGTGATGGTCGTCGAACCTTCAGTGGCAGCAACAGAGATGGAGGAAGATCCAGACGTTGGAACATTCTTGGATTTGGTGAAGCCACGATTTTGTTTTGGAGGTCGCATGGAACAATGTTCAAGAAAGTGACCGATACCATGGCAGTACCTACACTCTATAGTAGGACAGTTAGCAAATATATGACTAGTGCGATTGCAATTCTTACATGGATGATGATTCGATTTTTGATGTGAGAATCGAGTAGTTGCAAGAGCAACATCCATTTGAGGAGTTTTGTCTAGATTCAGACGCGTTTCTTCAAAAATGATTTCTTGAATAGCAGTGTCCAATGATGGAAGTGGATTTCGATGCAGCAGTGAGGCTCGTACGGCTTCATATTCGGGCTGAAGAGCCATAAGGACTTGAATGAGATGAAGGTGGTCTTCACTGATTTTGGCAAGCGATATTTGATGCCAAATTGGTTGGATTTGAGCGAGAAAATCATTCATTGATTGACCAGGTTCTTGTTTGGTATTGTGAAGTGTGGTCCATAACTGATAATAATGTGCAAGGCCAGTGGTTTGATAGCGGTTTTTCAAGAAATCCCAAATTTCTTTTGCAGAATCGTAGTTATGAAACTGAATGTGAATAGACGGTACAGACGTGTTGCGCAGCCACGTGATGATCTGGTGATTTTTACTATCCCAATCTTCAAGGCGGTCCGCAAATTTTGCAGCAGAATCATCTTTGTCTTGAGTTGGCTTGACGACATCTCCGGTGACTATGCGCCAAAGCTTGCGTCCGATCAGAAAACTCTTCATTCCTTAGACCCAGAGATTGTAGTTTGGTCCGGTCAAGGTGGTTGTAATGGGCTTAAAAATATCAGTTTTCTCCATAACGCAGAGATGAACAGGATAATGGAGAACTGAAGATGTTGCAGAAAACAGAGGGGAAAAAATGGGAATCTATGACCTATAATTTCTCTTAACAATCATCATTAATCATCCACCACTCAACACCGTAGAACGTAACTTGTCAACTTTATACCTAAACATGAAGTATCCCTTAGACCATGGGTGTATAGATGTCAAAAAGGGAGAACAAGAGATAGACAAGAGGTGCTACTAAAGCACCCTAAAAATGAAAGAAGGTGACTTGAATCTCAAGCAAACAATAGTGTTGACTAGAATCAAAAAAACTATTTCTCAATTAGAAATGGCTTACAAAAGCATATTTCCGAAAACATTTTAGAGCCTCAATTTATGTCACTCTTAACAACGGCCTAAATATTTTGGAGTAGGTTGTTTTTCTTCTATACTATATATGATTTTCCAATTCATTTATATACCAGTTGAGCCTCCTGCCATTGTTGAGTGGATGTTATCTGAAAGGTGAATAAATTAAGTAATTATACATGCTAGAAAAAAAAAAGACAAAGGCGCAGTTATTAAGTGTAGTTGAATTTTGCATTAATCATTCAATAGATTTATATATTTAGGATGTAGAGAAATCTTAAGGAAACCATCAACAAGCTACCAAATCTTTTGGACTCTTCTGATGCGTCTTTATATATGGTTTTGTTAACATACAAGTTATGGAATACTAATTTTGAAAAGTTTTGCAGTGAGTGACAAATGTGGAAATTCGAACTAGGACAACGCCAACTGTTTTGGCTTACAAACTGAGGGATTTAAATGTTTTTTAAAATATATTTTTACATTTATTCCGAATTATGTTTTTGGATTTATTTGAAATTATATTTTTGGCTTAGAATTAGAACAACGCCAACTCATTTAGATATGGATTTAGATAAATGAGTATAGAGTGAATTTAGAAGTGTATTTCTGAACTAAATTTTAAAAGAGAAAAAATATGATAACTCTCATTTAATATGTGTTTTAATGAGAAAAGTGAATTAAAAAATACATTCAGAAAATCTAAACAATATTTTCAAATTTTTATAAAGTGTTTTTTTACCGTTTAGATTAGATAAACAATTCCCAATTATTTTCAAGCTTCAAAACATGGATTAGTATTTTACTTCTGGGGAATTATTTAAAGAAAACGATAGAAGATGTCTTTAATTGACCTTGTTGAATATAAAGAGATTATAGGAAACACTATTAAAATCACATTTTTAATTTTGTGTTACGATAAATTTGAGCATAAAAATGTGTAGACTAAAAGAACCTTTTAATATAGGCTTAGTACAGAAAATTTTAGCCCATACACTCTATCATTTATTCCCTTATTTCTATATTAAACTTTTTTTTACCAAAATGTCCTCTTTAAATAGTTTATCTTAAAATTTTTTTTACCTTTTCTTCACTCTCGTTTTTTAACTCTTCCAATAAAATTTTTTTCCCTACAAACTGAAACACTTCCAACAACTCTTTTGGTTCATAAAATACACATATGACAGAATAAGTAAATCATCAGTATTACAATTTCATCAGAACTCTCACACTTAGTCTTTCGATTTATGTTATATACCGGAACTCGTTTGCAATGTCTTTTGATTTGATGAAACCTTCACCAGAAGACTTTTACAAAGTGTTCCAATTTTTGAAAAGTTAATGCACCAGAAGTCTCTCAAAATGTGTTTCAGTTTGAGTTTTTTTAATTTTTGATGTGTTTTTTGTGTTATTTTGACAGTGACGCGAACACGAGGCAAAGACGGTAGGTTTCCAGAGCGTGGTTTAGGATTGGGAGCTCCGTCGAGGTTGGCAGGTGAGGAAGAGCATATTGGCGCATCTGCATTTGCACCACAGTCGGTTGGCTTTACAAAAAGGTTGTACGATATGTCTCTTCTAATAAAGTACAAGCATCATCTTTCTCAACGTTTATGGTTCAGTGACGTAAGTAAATGACATTTACTTTATATTGAATAATATTTAAATTTAAATTTTTAATTTTATAATATGTGTACTTTTATTTGTTTTTAGGAGAGAGGTTCGAAGAAAGAGTTGAAGGTTGTTGGACATGGACTGAAGTTTACATCGAGGATTCCTCATAATATCCCATCAGAGATGGAGAGTTAGATGAGTCGGTCTTGTCTATCTTTACTTCAGAGAACAAGTTTGACGAAGATAGACACAAATCTGGTATCAACATTTATAGAGAGATTGCATCTAGAGACATCTTCATTTCAAATTCCATTTCGTGAGACGAGTATTAATCTGGACGATGTCTCTAGTTTGCTTCACCTTCCTATCAGGGACGTATTCTGGAGCCCTATAGATGTCACTGAAGAAGTTGTTGTTGAACTGGCTATTGATTACTTAGCAGTGACACAGAGTGATACGGTGAGACATGTTAGTAACTATTAAGGTGCTTATTATAAATGGAGTGGTTGTACGACTTATTCACATGTCATCGAGCTGCTTCTAGACGAGACTATGCAACCAGAGCGTATATGTTGATGTTGGTGGGTTTCATAATTTTTGCCGACAAGACTTTTACGCTTGTCAAAGCACGATGTCTATTATTGTTTATGGAGTTGGAGAGATGTGGGGGATACAGTTGGGGAGAAGTTGTGTTGCTTACCCTCTACAGATATCTCATAAATGCTTCCATGTTCAATTGCAAGTAATTCAGTGGATATCCTAATTTATTTTATTTATTTTTTGTTGATTAAATATGTTATTAATAGTATTAATTTTGTAACAATGCTGGATTCATGAGTATATTTCAACAC